TTTCTAGAGGCTCCTAGATCCACACTGGAAAAGACGTTGTACCCATAGCCGAACAAAACAACTGGAAGTACGAAGAATATCCTAAGGCTCAGTAAGAGATCGACATCACCAGCTGCTTCGATAAATCTTCACAGACTGGCCGGGCATCTACCATTACTAAGCATTCTAAAGTGGATTCCCTGGAAATATGCAGAACTTTCTCTACCATCCATAGGACAGATTGGGGAGGGGGATATTCTCTTTGAAATTGATGTATTCAGTAGGGGTCCAACACCCATTAGGAAAATCAGCACCTTTTGGATCGTAGGAACCTTAAAGCCACTGCATACATATGAGCGTCTTTGATATATTATAATGCCACAGAGTAAATATTAATTAATCAGCTAATGGCCTAGGAAGCATGCTAATCAAAAACAGAAAGTAGTAGAAACCTGTTGCCTTGTTTCATTGGTGTCCATAATTTTGATGCTAATGTTTGTGTGGATAAGGTGCATCAGCTGTCCACTTTACTTTGTTTTTAAACTTTATTTACATAATCGGCTTACACAATCTGTCACCTTACAGTTAAGCCCTGTGACCGTAAACATGGCGGCAACTATCAAGCAAGGAAAAAAAAAAAGAATAAACAAACAAATAAAGTAAAAATAACCTAGCAGCGTGCCACATGATCGAGTCAGGAGGGAATGGAGACGAGATAGCGAATTGTTGAGCCGCCTGTTAGCATAGTTAATTCAGCGGCTTTCCATACAATTCAAGATGGCGAAAAAAGTGAAGCAAGTCGAAGCTTTTAGCTGCGATCCAGATTTTTGTCCTCGTTGCGGATCTATTCTCCCTCTACCTGGCTTAACAGATGTCGTTTCTTGCTGTCTTTGTAACTTTCAAAAGGATACGGCTGGTAAGAGTTCAAAAAGTCCTGTTACTAAATGGGGAAACATAAGCTTAGCCGCCCTCGACGCGAGCACTCGAGTACACTGTATACATGTAGCTACCGTTGTCTGTAGAATGTAAGGACTTTATTTAGTAAAATACAAGGCGACCCTGTGTT